CCTCATCAGCAACAGCAAAGAATTTGAAATCTCCTTGGTGGACCAAAGAACTAAGGATTGCTCGAAACAGGGTTAGGCGATGCTGGAACAGATGGAAAAGATCAGGTGCGCTGACCGATCTAGCGTCTTATAAAAAACACAATAACAAGTACGTCAAACTAATAAAGAAAGCCAAAAGTACTAGTTGGCAAAAACACTGCTCCAATACATCGTCCTCTCGCCAAAAGTCAGCTAACCTCATCAAACGATTGAAACAGAGCAAAACCTCCTTGTCATCTATAAAAAAGGACAACGGCTCCTTCACTCAAACTCCCCTAGAAACATTATCTGCTATCACCAGCAAGGACACTATGTCGAGTAACCCCTCATCCCAGTCCTCTCGAACGTTATACTGTCCTAATGTATCTCAGTCCTCCAATCAACCCTCTCCTTCCGAACTTGCTTCTCTTATCTGTACAAAGAAGAGAATCGATAAAGCCTTCTCCTTCCTCACTAATAAGAAAGCCCCCGGTCCTGATAACATCTCTAATAACTTGATAATCCTCTCCTGGCCTCAGCTTAATACATTTTTCTATGATCTTTTTAAGGACAGCCTACGCTTGGGTTTTATCCCCCACTCATGGAATACATCTTCAGGTATCTTTTTGCCTAAACCTGGCAAGAAATTACACTTTCTCGCCCAAAACTGGCGAACTATTAATCTTTGCTCCAGTCTCCTCAAACTTCTAGAGAGAACTGTGCTTCTTTACCTCAACGATGAACTTGACATAGACAAGTCTCTTAGCGACAACCAGTTAGGATTCAGAAAAGGGAGATCTACGGACGAAGCGCTCCACCAGATAGTCTCATTCATTGAAGGCTCACTCTCCAAAGGCCACTTTGCACTAACGTGTTTCGTCGACATTAAGGCAGCCTTTGACTCTATTTCCTTCAGAAGCATCATCACTGCCCTTGAGAGATCAGACATAAACAATCACCTTATCAAATAGATCATTAACCTTTTGGGAAATCGTAAGGTCCTCTTTACATTGAAAGGGGTTTCCCTCATCAAATACATGCTAAAAGGAACTCCTCAAGGCGGGGTACTCTCGCCCCTTCTCTGGAACCTCGTTATCGACTCCCTCCTCGTGTCTCTTACCACATCACTCCACAAACCTGACTTCACACAGGGTTTTGCGGATGACCTAGTCACAGCAGTCACAGGTGACCACCTCCCCACTCTTATTGAACGGATGCAACTCTAGTTAACATTATCAACAACTGGTGTAAAGCCAACGACTTGGAACTGTCTCCCCTCAAGACCTCATTAGTACTCTTTACATGGAAACGGAAGTTTGTCGTAGATACCCCGATAACGATCGATGACCATCCTATCGAATACTCCTCAGATGTACGTTATTTAGGATTGATCCTGGATCAAAAACTGAACTGGAGTAAACACGTCGACCAAATCATCAAAAAAGCTACCTGGTCCCTCCTCGCAACTAGTAGAACTATTGGCAAAAACTGGGGTTACACAACAAACACAGCACGGTGGATCTATAATTCAGTTGTAGTACCAGCTGTGACCTACGGATGTCACGTTTGGGGAATTAACCCTAAATCACACATTAACGCAAAACTGTCCAAAGTCCAGTCCCTTGCTTGTCGCACAATAGTCCACTGCCCTATTTATACGTCTAGAAGAACCATGGAAGTTACCACAGGTATCCTGCCACTCCAAAGCGAGATTAAAAAGACTGCCTGCTCGACCCTTTTCCGTCTGCAAGGTCACCAAAGGTTCAACCTAGTCCACAACCCCAGAACAAAATTCCAACCGCATTCATCTACCTACTCCGATTGCCTCACACCTAGTATCGAACATTGGGACATCACCCGTCCAGTGAGATTTAAGACTCCGATGTTCATCGCAAATTTGGCCTCCGAACAACAATTGAACGAACTCATCTCCTCCCACAAGACGGTAACAGATCGATACCACTTCTGCTGCTTTACTGATGGATCCCGCCTCAATAACAAAACAGGCTCAGCACTTGTGGTATACTCCATGCATGACGTAGACCCCTTAGCTACATTCAAATGGAGACTGGATGACCACAACACCGTTTTCCAAGCCGAAATGATGGCCATTAGAGAAGCTTGCGCTTGCCTTCGCTCCCTGCCCTGTCAGAACGCATCAGTAGCCATCTTCACAGACTCACTTTCTGCAGTTCATGCCCTATCTGCCGACGCCTCGTCTAGCCCATTATGCATCGAAACAAGAAAAGAACTAGATATGCTCACATCATTTTGCTCTTCTGTTTCCCTAACATGGATAAGAGGACACTCAGGTATAAGAGGAAACGATCTGGCTGACACTCTTGCGAAGGAAGGGACCACCTGCAGCTCCATTAAAACAGTACCTCTTCCCGTAAGCCATTACAAGACGACACTGCGTGATAACAGCTTTACCTCCAGAGTCAACAACTGGTCTGACTCCACTTCCTCTAACCCTCTACTCTCCCTACTTACCCACTACTCCTTACCACAGCACATTAAATTCTTCAGGTCTCTTAACAGGCGTAACTCTCGCATTATTACTGCTTTTCTGGATAACCGTGCACCACTTCAAGCCTTTCTGAACAAAATAGACGACACGATCAACCCTAATTGTTCGTACTGTTTCTCTGGACGCCAAGACAATTACCACGTTCTCTTTTTCTGCCCAGCCCTGGAGTTCGATCGGCTACAACACCTTGGCTCCTCTCCTCACCTAGCAGATTTTAACAGCATCTCACCCCATTCTTTACTCAAGTTCCTCCTTAGCATTCCCCTTTACCTGAGATTCGCAGAGTGACAATGTTTTGACATTACTTATGTTTACCTTGTGTTCATTTATATTATTACTCACTAAACCATTAGATACCCCACAACTATCACTTGCTAAACCTCATCTCTTATCCATCATGTAATTGCGCCTATGATCCTACCACCTCCCACAACAAGAGTTTGTAACCAGCAACGTGGTCAAAGGACTCACAGAATCTCAACAACACGGAAGATACTCTCTTCTATTCTCAAACCACAGGTAAGTCAGGCAGTGGTTCACACTCTGTTGATATCTCACTAGTGAGATTTATGGTTTCTCACCTTTCTTAAAGTCGAGTGTGTCCCACAACCAAGCACTCTGCCTAGAAGTCCTACATTATGTAATTTTATATAATGATCTGGACATAAGTGGCAAGTAGCTCTTGAAAACAAACAAACAAACAAACAAACAAATACTGTAATGCTCTGATAATTCGTTTATAATTATAATTATACCGTTTATTTGTGAGTTCGCGTCTAAGTCGACCGTTTTGGCCTTATTGTGTTTGTTAAAGCAACACTTCTCTTAGCTATAAACTCTCTAAAATGATGACTATTTCCATTGCTTAAAATAATTTGTATTTTGTAATCACTGTTTAAACTTAATTAATTTACCCAACTATTGTATTTATCACTAGATATGTGGAACAACTCTGACTTCTCCAACAGTACCCTATTCGGGGACCACAACAAGGGTGGACGCTACATCTGGACTGTCTTCCTAACATTCGCTCTTCTCTCATCCCTAATCGGAGACACAACAATCTGATAGCGTCCATCAAGTACAAGGCCTTCAAGTTGCACAAGCTCATAGTTGTGATTATCCAACACATTGCAGTGGCAGATCTCCTGGTGTCCACTACGTTTCTCTTCCCCAAGGTGGTGTCCCAGATAGCTGGAAGGTGGGTGTTTGGTGGGCTCCAGTGCAATATATCCCCCTATCAGACTTACTACGCTGCTGGGCTGGGTATACAACTGATATGTGCTATGACCACTAGTAAGGTCTTCATCCTTAAGTTTCCGCTCAGGTGCCTGTCGTTTTCGGGAAGGAGAGCTCATGTTGTGTGTGCTGTTTTGTGGGTTTTAGCTGCAAATGTTCCTGTTTCATTTTTACTCGTTCAAAAGAGTGATGTGTTTTTTGACTACAGGATTTATACATGCGATTATGGTTTCTCGGCCGACTCATGGACCTGGTTAAAACCACTGACCTTTATCCTCTTCATGGTCCTCCCCAACGTTGTGGTTGTAACAACCACAATATACTTACTGGTATTTGCCCGGTCAGTGGCTAAAAGAGGCAGGAAAAGTCTGAAATGGCAAGGAATAACCACAACCGCCTTAACAGGAACTGTATACTGCGTCTCTACACTACCATACGCTATCTTTCGTATAGGAGAAACTATGATCAACACAGATAGCAAGGCAGAGAGCTTCTTCCATACTCACTATCTTAGTCTGGCTAATGACTTTCTCTTTCTAAACACTATCAGTAACATTTATATTTACTCTTTGACTGTGGCTAGTTTTAGGAGGTTTATTATGTCCTGTATTCGGCCTGCCAACAAGCGGGTACCTTTAAGGAGACTTCCCACAAGAACTACTATTCTTTTCGGTAAATTTACTCTGTTTTTAATAAGTTGTGGTGCACCTTCCCCTGCTTTTTTTCTTTTTTTAAAAACTTTAAAATGTTTTTAAACCGCGAAAATCAATAGAAATACACAAAAAATGACGTCAAAACTACCTGCAGGAGCTCACACAAACGAGGAAGAAATAGAGATAAAGCAAGAAAACACAGATACTCGACAGTTTTCAGTGTAAAGTTCACAATCAAGAATGGAAATTTGCTGCTCATCTACCAGCGGACCAGCAAGATATCCATCATTTATATTGGTATATAATATTAGATATACCTATATATATAGGTATTGGGCCTTTCCAATGAAGACCAGCAATTAAATGTAATTGGACATCAGAATAAATTTATAACACGAGAAATTTTATTCATGTTTATTAAATATTTTCAGCCTGTATAAACCCTATTACTAACTTATGTTAATTTGTATAATTGTCTTCTTAAGGGGCACGTCATTATTACGTCACTATTACGTCACTATTTATACTCCAAATATTGTAACAAGATAAAAAATACTCACGTTTGACCGAATAAAGTCATCCCAGTCAGCTTCCAACTCAGGCTCTCCTTCGTCCATTACGTCGAAATGGCTCTTAACAAGCTTCTCAAACAGCTGCAACATCATGTCTCTTGTGGTGAGAGCGGTGGGTATTGAGTGCCGGTACAGCTCGTACACCATGTCCCGTACAACTGAATGGGAGCTGGATACTATCTAATATCTGGATACTATCTAATATCTGGATACTATCTAATATCTGGATACTATCTAATATCTAAATAAACAATTTTATATGCAGTGCATTGTTGATCAGATTAGGAATAACTGTATAAGCGAGGATGTATGAGCAAAATATAAACAAAATATGACATTAAAAATTTGTCACGAAGTCTCTAAGTCCATATAAAAACTTTGACGATGCAGGACAGCAATATCATCATAGTTGTTGAGTGCCAATGGATCTACCAGAAGTCCAAGTCTCTAAGTCCAAATATATGTAAACTTAAGCCACAATTTACCGGTGAACTGGTTGATTGTGATCCTCCAGGAGGGTGTTGAGAACATGCTGCTAACTAGATTCATCAGCAGGATGCACAGGTCCTCTCCAAGACTCTGTAGCCTTTCGCATACTGCTCCGATGAAGGCTGAATAACGGGAACAAAGAGTTTTAGCAGAGTAACAGGAACTTAAAACTAAGGTTAACACTATTTAACATACTATCTAGTCACTGGGAGTACTTTGCAAGTGAGAACACTGAGTTTATTCTTGGCCACTCGGTATTTTAATAGTTAGTCGAGACAAATTTATTGTTTACTGTAGGATCTGGAAGAGCTTATGAAATCGAAAGAGAAACTCCACAGCAGTTAAAATGTATTTTAAAGTTTTAATTAGTAAGTATACATACCTGGATCTGAATTAGCCATGATGATGTGTTTGGACAGTATCTGGTTAATAACAGAGGGATGAATATCCGGCCACCCCACCATCGCCTCACTATAAAAGTTAGCTAACTTCTCCAGATACTGTGCATCACCTGTAACTGCCCGGAACAGCGGGCTACCGTACAGTGTGGCATCGAAATCTTCCACCAAGACCGAATCTGAATGTTTTGTATGTTAGGACAAGGTTTTTGGAATTTTTTATTGGTTTTGGGTAAGGTTTCTTTCGTGCGATATCTTATATTTTACAAAAATGTACATCTATATTACAATGTAGATAATGTCAGATTAGCGACATACTAAAAGTAAATGAAATCCAAAGAAAAATTGATAACCAGTGAAGGAGTTCAAAACAAAAATTATCAATACCGGTTATTAAGAAGAGTGAAAAAGGATCATGCCAATAGCTTCCATAAAATAGAAAGCTTTTATAAACTTATCAAGTTTTTCCAAGAAAATATTACTCTATGTTTTGTATGATTCGATCACCCATATTATTATTAATGCCCTCTCACAATAAGTAATATTACAGGTTATTTCGTTTAGTTTCTGAAGATGTGTTTATTACAAAGATTCTATCCCACTGTGCTGGCAAGTGAACATTTTTGTGGGATTCGTGATGTTTTATGCTTATTCATGACTATGAGCAATAACAACCTTTTGTTCAATTACATTTTTATTTTGTATGTTCCGTCACCTGGCCTAAAGACTGAGATATAGCTACGTAATCAATTTAGGATTGTCGTTAAGGAGGTGCAATTAATTAACGCTTTATTTGATAATTATTCGCTAGCTGCTTTTACTGTATGAATGCAGATTTATGGCTTAGTCCAATAAAATGCGCCTGCAAACGAATTTGCGAGGTGTCTGCAATATTTCTAATAGCAACGCTTCCAGTTAATTTCGCAGCAGGAAAAAATACCAAAATTACTTATTTTAAATTGAATTGTGCAATAGGTTGTAATATTTAAAATTTGTTTTCATATGTAATAATATTTTGATAGTTAATCCATGATATGATGGCGAGTCTTTAGTCAAGGTACATTCTTATAAGTTTTATAAGCTTATAATAATAACATTCTTAGAAGTAAGATGTATAAATAAAGTACGACAAGAACGTTTTGAGCCAACAACAAATTCTAATTCCACCAGCCCATCAGTAGTTATTGTAACAGTAGTAATGGGTGGGCGACAATTGACCCCCCAACAATTAACCCCCCGACAATTGACCCCCCGACAATATAATTTAATACTATTAACCCTGACCCTGACCCCGACCCCGACCCCGACCCCGACCCGGACCCGGACCCTGACCCTGACCCTGACCCTGACCCTGACCCTGACCCTGACCCTGACCCTGACTCTGACCCTGACCCTGACCCTGACCCTGACCCTGACCCTGACCCTGACCCTGACCCTGACCCTGACCCTGACCCTGACCCTGACCCTGACCCTGACCCTGACCCTGACCCTGACCCTGACCCTGACCCTGACCCTGACCCTGACCCTGACCCTGACCCTGACCCTGCCCTGACCCTGACCCTGACCCTGACCCTGACCCTGACATTACCCTTATAACCCTCCAAAAGGAAAGCCAACCTTGTCACGTACCAAATTCAATATTTTTAGTTTTCTTTTCTTTCCGCGTGAGTCTTGTATTATAATTGTCTGAATTATTTCGGTAATGTGGATACATAGTCTTTTATTGCTGTAAAATCTATTAAGGTAATTATACAAATCATGTATCAAAGTAAAATCCCGATTTACCGCTGATATTGCCGTCTATAATACCCAGTGACTCTATCTAATGGTAATCAAGTTTAATGATATCGAATCCTCATTTTGAATCGTAATAATGAAATGAAAAACGTAAATATCTAACTCGATACTGTACCATGGCATAATGCCGAGGACTCTCCTTAAAAACTTCATAGCTCGAGTTTCAGAAAATCTGTTTATCTCGAATAAAGTAGTAAAATCCAAACCGAGCTCGGGTAGAATCATTAAGGGTTCTAGCAGTTACCGTACGTGTAAAAGCGTCCGCTCTTAGATTAAATTTTCCGATTTACAGATATAATGTCTACTTTTATTAGTTTGTAATCAGTTAAGTAATTAAAAGACATATCACGCGATACACACAGCCCTCCTTAGTTGTTTATAAATTTGGAGTTTAAATGATTTGTGTTTTTTTTTGCGGCTTGTTTCGTCAACTTGTCCACTATCCCTACTTCAATCTTTACGTCATGTCTCAGTCTATGCCAGACATTCAGCACTATATTTTTTCCATAGTTTTAGTCAATTTTAATTTTAGCTACTCGACTTTTGATAGATATGGTTTATTTTTACCACAACCTATTTTGTTCAGAAGATGCCGTTGACATCAAGACTGCTTGGACTATGGCTGTTATTTATGTTAACTGTTCAGAATACTCTATCACGACCATCCAGAAAATTGCGACACCGAATCATCGAACGTAAACAGAATCCTGACTTCGACATCATCAACGACAGACTACGAGTGGAGGGGATGCCTCTATTCCAAGGTGACATGGTCATGGACGAAAACATGATCGCTAGAATCCTGGAGGATAAGTCAGTTCCAAGGAGAGAAAAAAGGAAATTAAACCAACTTTGGCAAGCCTCAGAAAAGCGTCAAGGTAGAAGCAAACGAGCGGCTGTTAAAAGCGAGTACAGGATTTGGGGAGACGGGGAGTTGAAGAAGTTCGAGGACGAGGACCTCACAGGAATGAGTTACGGTGTTATACCCTACGTGTACGATCCACACATGTCAGACTGGAAGCTGGAGATGATCGGCAATGCTCTGAAACAGTGGGAGGACAGAACCAAGGATCCCGACAGTGACAGGTACTGTTTGAAGTTTGTGCCCTGGGCAGGCGAAAAGAACTATATCAGCTTTACAAGCACCAAGGGTTGTTGGTCTAAAGTCGGTAAAAGTGTATCACGTGGGGCACAGACCGTGGCTCTGGGACCCCAGTGTGGTTCTGTGGGTCTCATGGCTCACGAGATTGGGCATGCTCTAGGCTTCTTCCACGAGCAGAGCAGACCGGACCGGGATGATTGGATCCGGATTATTGATGAAAATGTGAGACCGGGGAGAAATTACAACTTTGTGAAGTATGGAGATTATCTGGTTGATACCCGAAACGTAGAGTACGACTACAGCTCGATAATGCACTACAAGACAGATGCGTTCTCCTGGAATGGTAAGGACACAATGGAGCCAGTGAAGGAGCTGGAGGAGGGTGTTGTGATCGGACAGAGGGACGGAGCAAGTGAGAAGGATGTGGAGCAGATCAGGAGGATGTATGGGTGTCCGGGTGTTGTAATGCCAGTCACACAAGCACCTACTACTACACCACCAGAGGTTCTGGATGAGATAGTGGCCCAGGGGAGCTGGACTTGGGACTGGAGAAATGCAGAGTGGATCTGGGTCGTGGAGTGAAGATACTGGGTGAGTCTGGGTCGTGGAGTCAAGAGACTGGGTGATTCTGAGTTTGCACTTGGGTTATCATTACTTGGAGAATCGCGTGATTTTGAGGGAGTGCTGGGAACACTCAAAATTAAGAAATTGAATAACAATGTTATCATTATGATTAACAATTGAATTACAACTTTATACATTTATAATTGTTAATGACACGTATTTTGATAATATTTGATAATGATATAGCTGTAGCAACTATATTTGATTTGATCATTCCCAAATATCTAAATCTCTCGCTATTTCTGTTAAATGAACATAATGAAAGTAAAAATACGGGTATCGAATGAATAACTTAAATTTTCATCGGATAAATAAAATCGTTAGTTTGACCGTTGGTTAGACGTGATGCATGAAGTGATTATCAGCTCAGAGGGTAACATGACTCCTGTCCGACAGCGACTCTTGTCCGACAGCACTATTTTCTTGTGTTTGAAGTGATAACTCAAATTTGGCACATTGAAATTCACCCAAACTTGCACAGATTATTCGTCTTAAAACTATCTTACTATCTGGAAAGTTTTAAGAAAATCGTAAAATGGGATCTCCAGATAGTAGATACCACTGCAAACCACTGATTTAGAGATATTTTTAATTTTTTGTGTTTAAGCCTTAAGGTGATATCTTAAATTTGGCACATAGATATTCGCCCAAACTTACACATATTATCCGTCCTATTATAACCATCATACTTTATGGAAAGTTTCAAGAAAATCGTATGGTAGGATCTGACATAAACTATTGTCCGAAAACCCTATTTTCGGAGTCGGACAGGAGTCGCTGTCAGACAGGAGTCGCCCAATCGTAAAATACTTGATATCTAGACTCGTTTTAAATATAGCTGGTTGCTCTTTCATAGATTGTTTTACAGATGTTTCGTGAACACTCTTTAGTTATCGGCCCAACGTATAATCAGGCTATAAAAAAAAGTTGCGCTGTTGCATTATTGTACCAAAAGGATAAAAATGGATGTGTTTGTTTTAATTTAAAACTTGATCACTCTCATCGATTGGGCGACTCCCGACTCCCGATAATCTATGAAAGAGCAACCAGCTATATTTAAAACGAGTATAGATATCAAATATTTTATTTAGCTCTCAAAATTTCGTATATTTTGCTGCAAGGCTCTTCAGATATGCTATTGTAAAATTTTCAGAGTCAATATAGAATCGTATTTTTATACTCTTGATTAGATTTTGACACTCTTGATTAGATTTTAGATGATTTGATTTGAAACTTTTACAAAATAGCAAATATACAAATGTACAGCAAGTCGAACAAACATATAAAATGGGCCGAAATGTATAAATGCTATAAAGCGTGGGTCAGTGAAACAAGTACAGAGGACAACTTTCAAAACAGGAGTTTTATGGCCGCCCAAAGTCTCAATAACATCACCTCCACCTAGTAATAAAATTATGAAATATGAAAAGTGTGAAACAATCAAATAATAAAATATTCAAAATATATAGTTGTTATCTGTATTGATAACGTCTGAAAATTCTTAAAATAATCATCACTCCTTCATATACTGATCAGTGTCCGAGAGTGTAACTCATGATGACTTCTTATCACGGCTACATACCTTCCCGTACCGGATGTAGTGGTCGAGATGAGTCTGTTCCGCCCTCTTCTTCTTCAGGTCAGTGACCAGATGCTTCCTTGTTGCTCGTTCTTCGCTGGATCTGTCTGGACATATCCATACATCTTTGTGCGTCTCCCTCATGTCAGTCTCCCTGTTTTCATCAGAATCTGATGAACCGCTGTTGAGCTTGGGACGGTGATCTTGACTGGTCGGATAGCCGTACTACCTGGCCTCTTCCAACCGACTCTAGTCGCTTCGAAGTGAGGTTTCTCCCCGATCTCCTCCAAAACTGCGGTAACTAGCGCTGGAAGCTGTTCTTCCTCCTCTTCTTTCAGCCCAAACACGATCAGGTTCTTGCTCCTGTCCTCCTCTGCAGCCACACTCTTCATCACCTTCTTCAGGATTTTACTGTTGCAGACCGTACCACTTGCACTGTTCTGTTGAACAGCTGCACTATAGTTCTGAATCCCTGACTCCGCCGTTGTTTGGACTGTCTCCTCAACAGACGTCTTAAGCAACTGTAGTTGTTCGTCCTTCTGCATCAGCAGCTGGCCCTGCAGTCTGATCACCTTTTCTTTGTCTGCTAGTGCTTCCGTCTTGAAGCACTCGATGATCTCCTTCAAGAGATACATCTGACTACTCTGCCGACGAACAAGGTCCACTGCATCCACAATCCAGCCAGACAGAGTCTGTTTATCCTAAGTCTTGATCTTTTCACGACTTTCGTAGTCAATTTCACGGTAGTCCATATGCAGGTCTTTTTCTAACTGAATGGACCAGCGTGCAACACAGCCTTCCACATCTTACTGTTGATCATAGTTGAACTCCTTAATCAACTCCTGGGATCGGGGCAAAGTTGGGTCATCCCCCATAGTGTACTTGTATAGTAATGTACAAGTACACACGCAAAGGTAAACTACGCGGTAGCAGCAAACTGAACTTGAATAATATAATAATACCAAATTTAGCGGATTTATGATTTACAAGTACAACCCCCATTCCTAAGTGTTTTTTGAGTTTCCGTTTATTTAATTAATTGCTGGGCGGTCGAACTATTCGATGACCCAGTAGAGGAATCTACGAATCTCTCCAAAGTATATAAAGTAGGTAATTTTTTAATTTGTAAATACTTTCGTTAGGTAAAGTTTAAGGTGAGCGTTTTCGGAATTCTATCAGGTTATTAGTCGTATTTATTTTCTATCGATAAATTTCTTTAGGGTTGAAACATTTTTGCAAAGAATTCATAATGAGGTTTTTGTTCCTTTGTGTGTCGTTACAAATTATATTACTTACTTTACTTTATGTATGGTGATTTTAATATCCGCACGGTATCAAAAGTGGTATATAACTGTTTCTATTGTCCAGCTCTTTGCGTATAACAAAATTCTAAAGCTCTACAGATTAAACACGAAATGTGAAAACTAGATAGGTATTTATAAGTAGTAAGCTACACAGCAGTACACAGGACAAGTCACATTTGTAACAAGTGAAGCCGGATACGGGACCACTAATTGAGTAGAAAACTTTGGAAATTTAATAGTACAATCATCTTAAATAATCTTTCAATCGACAGTTTCAATCCGAGATGTAGATGTAATGAGTAGGTTAAGATATGGCATTCTGATAGTGATAAGTGAAACCTTGTTGAAACGGTCTTGTTAAACACATCGACCGTATCAGGAGTCTAAGTAAGTGCTTGGGAATCTGCCAAGCTATATCTATCATCATGGGATTCACTGACGAATCATGAAACCTACAATGTCCTAAAGTCTAAAAGAACACGGACCTCATTCCTCCACATGACACGTCATAGCTCACTTCCTCCCCAGTGTCATGATGATAGTACAGCGTAGGGTTTCCAGCACTCCCCTCGACCAGACTTCAAATATGCGGGCCGCTTATCTTACCAGTCACTCATAGTCATACATAATTAATTGTTTATATGCAGCCACGGAATAATCTTCTTCTGTTGATTTAGCTGCCTGATCCTAGATTTGCGGCAGGTATTTGTTAATTCGAATTTCTATCACACTTAGACTTAATCTTTTCGATATCATTTTCCGCGTTGATAATATTTTCTGCAAGATTACCTTACTCGGGATTATTATGACCGGGATAAAGTGGTGGGTTTAGGGTAATTTCGCCATATTTTTCCAGAACCACATTTTCACCGGTCGTTAATAAACCCGCCTACTCAGCTTTTAGGGTTCCCAAGGGGTATGGGTGCTCATATTTTAATCGTTGTCTTATATTCACTAAAGAAGACTATTGGGACACTTGTTGTAGGTTTTTCGACTTCATTTGGCTAAAATTGCAAAAAATTCACCCTTTTGCCCAATTCTTGTCATATATCCTTATTGTCAAATTTGATTTAAATAGGCCAATTTTTAATTTCTTATGTATTGACTATCTCTACATAATGAAATAGGACTCAAAGTAAAAGTAACAGTTAAATTAAAACTTGAATTAATTAAAACTGATGAAAGGGATGATCCAGATGAAGATAACGAAGATGATTACAACTTATTGGAAGACTAAACAGCTCTCCCTTTATCTTAATATCGATCTGGTTGTTACGCTTCAAATGTTAAAAATTATTTTCCATCTAGTTTGATTAACCACGAGTCATTATTTCTGTCTACTTTCAACAATTATTGATAATTCGACTTGTTTCACAAGTTTTAGCAATGCGAAAATTTCTAAACTTGCTTATCTCTAATAAGGAAATTTACATCTGAGACAAAACTTTTGAATCTAAAATTGAAAGGTTGGACACCGGTAAAATGGCGACCGGGAAAATGTGGTGGGTTTTGAGCAATTTCGCCATATTTTTCCCGAACCATATTTTAACCGGTCGTTAATAAACCCGTCGTAATAATCCCGAGTAAGGTAGTTACCAAATACACCACTGTGAAATTTGTCAATTTGTAATCAAACGTGTTATCTCTATCATCAAATCTGTTCAGGAAACAATGACACAGAACCTTCTCGTCTTTTGCCCCCTGTTCCTCAGTTTTATTTATATGGGCCTTTGCAGACCAAGTAAAGGCCGACAATCTATCAGAAAAAAATGGGATAACGACTTTGATTCCATTAACGACAAGTTAAGGATTGAAGGGCTTCCCCTCTTCCAGGGAGACATGGTAATGGATGAGAACATGATAGCAGAAATTCTAGCCGATGATTCCGTTCCCAGTAGAGAAAAGAGGAGAATAAGTAGACTTTGGGAAGCCTCAGAAAAGAGAGAGGGAAGAAGCAAGCGAGCAGCCGTTAAGAGCGAGTACAAGATCTGGGGAGACAAAACGTTGCAGAAGTTCGAGGAAGATGGGGTTTCTGGATCTTCCTACGGGATAGTTCCTTACGTCTACGACCCCTACCTGGAAGATTGGAAGATGGACCTGATCAAGAAAACCATGAAACATTGGGAAGAGAAAACCAAAATACGCGGAAGCGAGAGTCACTGCATTAAGTTCGTACCATGGACTGGCCAGGACCACTACATCAACTACGAGAACATCGACGGCTGTTGGTCTAAAGTTGGAAAACGGCACAAGCCTGGCCCACAGACCGTGGCTCTGGGACCCCAGTGTGGTTCTGTAGGTCTCATGGCTCACGAAATTGGGCATGCTCTAGGTTTCTTCCACGAGCAAAGTAGACCAGACCGGGACAACTTTATCAAAATCAAGGATGAGAACGTGCGACACGGCAGAAGTTACAACTTTATCAAGTACACTGATTGGTTTGTAGACGCCCGTGATGTGGAATACGACTACAGCTCGATAATGCACTACAAGACAGATGCATTCTCCTGGAATGGTAAGGACACAATAGAGCCAGTGAAGGAGCTGGAGGAGGGTGTTGTGATCGGACAGAGGGACGGAGCAAGTGAGAAGGATGTGGAGCAGATCAGGAGAATGTATGGGTGTGAGTTGATCACAGAACCAACAACACCGGCACCAACTGTGGCAGCAGGATACTGGAGTTGGAACGGGAGGAGAGGGAGAAGAAGCAAGTGGACCTGGGTCAAGGGTTGAGCACTGAGCAATGTGATCTGTGCTTCAGTTAGATGCAAGTCTGGTAACAAGTTTTAAGCAACGATCGAGTTTAAAATTAGGTTTAAAATTTAAGAAAGACTAACGATAGAGGCGGAATATGTCAATGTACTTTATGCAGCGAGGATTTTTTATAATGTTTGAATTTTAAGTGAGATAAAGATTGTTTGTCTTCATGTTTTTATGATAATTTTATGACAAAAATAATTTTCAATACTTAATTCATCTTTATTCGTTCTGTCATCTGTACCAGAATGACAGAGCAGATTTTACTTACGAAACGAAACACTGTATTTACTACCCCACTATTGAAATTATAATGTAAAAAGCATGAGATTGTTGTTAATTTTCTAATTTTCCTCACATCACGATTTTTTAAACTTTTAAAGAATATTTTTCCAATTTATAAAGCTACTGACAGTGAGTATTAATTTTTAAGATATAACTATAATATCTTATAATTATAATATTTCTGGGCGGTAGTAATCTAACAAACCTTGAATAATTACTCTCTGTATAAGATCCAAAAACTCATGATTCACCGTAGGTCGAACAACTTCACCCTCGTCAGTATGGTCACGACCTTGAATTAGTGTTGTTTGTGCCAGTTAAGTCTAGCATACGAAGCATCAACTAAACATATAATATGCTATTATCTCAAATGAACCGACTTAATTAATAACTTATAAAACAGACAGGGTATATTTCAAAGGAATTTGCGGGAGTATTTTTCAGCACTGGTGAGTATTTTTAGCACTAACTAAATACAAAACTGCAAATTTTCGCCAAATTGGGTAATCATGGGCTCACAATGGAGCCATATTTGTTCGTTAAGATTTGTGGGATTTTTTCTTTCCTCTAATAGTCTTGTTATGAGTGCCAAAATTTCCCGGCTGCAAATACTCCTGCAATGTTCTCTGTCTGTCCCCAAACATTAAAGACTTAATCACAAAATCATCTTGGTTAAATTTCAAGGGTTCGGATCTATTTCTCATCAAAAGTTTCGATTCTCCCTTTTCGATTACATGCTAAGCATACCACAGAGCTGAGGTGAATGGAACACAGCAGTGAAAAACAAACAAACTGTTAACTGACAATACAAGTTACAATTACCAGCTGGAGTAGGAAGCGGAGTGGGAACTAGCTCATCATCCTGGTCAGGAGCGCTCTGATAGCTGCTGGATCTGGGAACCTGTTTGGGCAGATCATGACTGAGGGAGACTAGGGTAGGAGCAGCCGGGGCCGAGGTAGGGATAGAGGGGAGGAGTTTGGATATGGGGAGGGGAGTTGCGGTGAAGGAGTTAGGGGAGAGAAGCATGGGGTGTGACGGGGAAGACCGGGAGATGGGTGATGAGGAGAGGAGAGACTGTACCGCTGGAGCCATTGAGGATTGATCAGGCTGGGAGGGTGGCTCTACGGGCTGTCTCGGAGATGACTGCAACTCTGCTGAAAGGTTTAGGGTGAAACTTCTTGTAATAAGGGCGTTAACAGGGGGTCAGCTGAAGCAAATGAGTTGAAAAGAAAGAAGTGATTTATTTTCTTAACTGAACAATTTACTGACCGATAGTGTGTGTAGTAGTATAACTAGTCTCAAACTTCACGTTACATTTGAGCATCCCACCATTATTCACGGCTATCAGAACTAGCATGCACGTCCCAGAGTTAACCTGGAACAAATTTAAAATAATTACAACAATCCAAATCAATAACATCGATTTAGGATGTTACAGAAGAAGTATATTTAATTTTGTTCGAAGAATTTTAATCTTCTTCTCTTCCAAGAGTGACTTTTCTCGTCTCTAATACACAGTACACACCTTCAGCAGGGTGTTGGACCAGTGAATTTAATTGAGTCAGAAGTATAAATTGTCTGGAGGCTACAAGTTGAGCCTCGTGGAACTACTGTCTACTCGATATGTTTTCCTATATTATGCGGTAGTGTTTTAATGTCCTCATCTTACTATATATAAAGCGAGACGATATATATATGGATCCGTGCCATTTTACTGACACCACGGCATCAACTTTAACGCGACTTTCTGCCAAAACCGTAAAAGATATACAACTGAAACTTTTTTGACTGGGTCAAATGCTTTTATGCTTTTCAAATCAGCATGAAAAAAAAAGAAATTGGCCAAGGAATAAGAATTTTAGTGCCCAAAATTTGGACCCCCAAGTGGTGTCAAAAACGCGAATTAAATAGGTACTAATTATTTTAGTCTCTTGAGTCTTGACACCACATTAGAGTTAGACGGGTTCCTGCTAGTAGTATTAAATCAGGAGGGGATGACGTTTATAAATAAATATCAAGAATATAGCTGCTAATCGATTTATGTCATATGAATTATGAATGTATGTGATTAGATACATTTTTCAACGTTTCAATTATTTATTTTTAACGGGAAAGTTGTCTTTGGATAATTATTCCTTAAATGGAAGATTAATAAACCATATTAACCTCGTATCGGCCTTGGATGTGTTCCTCCTCTTCAACTACATGGCTTATTGAAAGATCAAATAGTCCACTTTTCATCGGGTAGCAAAACATTCTGGAGAAAGCATCAGGGGCTAAATGACCTTGAGTGGTGGTCAGCTCCAAGACGTATAGATAGTTAGAGCCCGGAGAAGAAATAACAAGGAACCTTCCCCGATCATCTAAACTGTATATCATTCTTCCTGATAGATCCTGAAATTGAACTCATGAGACGACCCAGATTTATCAATTTGGCAAAATGTTTCGTGCAGAGAACAGCCTTACAAAGTAACACGTGTTATTTTCCGGATTAAATATTTCGAATGTTTTACCTGGTCCTCAGGGAGAACCAAGTCAAGCCGGTATGTTATAGTCCAGTGTGTAAGGGATAGTATGAGAATACTGGTGTCTGTTGCCGCAACCAAATTCGTCCACACACGTGAGCTATCAGATTCTTCGCACGACCCGTCTTCGCAATCGTCTGATTCAAAATTAATGTTCATTACTGTTAATTAATTAATTGGATTAAGGCTTAAATAGCGATTCAAACCCCAACCTAAGGCTCTTGTCTGAATCGCTGAGAGCCTTTATGGCTGAGGTTGGACTTGGATTTCCTGAAAGTGTTCGCTATTGTCACCCTAAAGTGAGAACACTTTCAGCTAGGAACTTCAAAGTTTCTAGACATATTTGGTTTTATAATTGAAGTGCTTTCCCAGAATTCCAATTTGTTTGTTCACAATTTAATCGAGTCTCGGCACTTAGGCAGTGATTTCGTCACCCAATCAGCATAATAAATAGTAATATAGCGCGCAGGTGGTTCAGCGTGCGCGCGCGCGCGCGTACCACATAAATGTTATAGATTGTTTACTACCTTTCGAAATAATAAATGGCAACCGCGCCTTCCTGCAACTTATCGGTTTACTGGCAACTTGACGCAGAATTTTAACCAGAGAAGCTGACTGTGAAGTCATTTATAAACCAAAGCTTCGACCATACCTTCGATGCCTTGCAGCATGACATCACCCTAATGTACACAATGGATATCGACATTTATTCAGAAATACACTCTATCTATGCGTATGTAGACGATTAATCAATTAAAAGGAACAGACTTACCAGGGAACCCGATCCAATTGACACAACCAGTTTCATCTTCATCACCCAACAGTTTAAAGGGACCATCAGGATCTGCCATCTTATCTTCCACTGAAATTCAACCTTTTGTTAAATGGTATCCAGGCCAACAGACATCATGTCCATAAGTCAGATATCAGTGAGTTTCTATATATTATTTCAAACACTGTTATTGGGATATTATTTATGTTCTCTAAATTAGTTAATTATCATTAAACTTTCACGGATATGATAAAGATAAGCGGGTCGGGTCAGAACTCTAAATAAGGGGTAAACTAGTACAGGTGGTAATATCTAATTGTATAGACTCCAGCCACCATAACCGGTGGGTAATTAAAATTATTCTTGTCATTCCTTTTTTAATGTTTGTATAGCTAGGCTGTCTGTAAATTGGACAATTTATAACATTATTTTCAGAACAGTTGCCAGTCTAAGTAGAACAAGTTTTCCTTTCTAAACCAACACAAGTCACAAGCCGAACAAATAATTTGAGGACAACATGACACTACAAAACTTTGAACATAACACGAGGAAATATGGACAGAACTGAACAAGAAAAAAAACACATTCAAAGGCTGAGGAATCAAGAGGACTCTGCAACCCAGGAATCAACTACTTAGCTATCATCGCTCAATAATCGGTTTGGTATCGACGTTAAATACTTTGGTTTTCTGACTTTAAAGCTGACTAAAGAAACCAGGGAATTAATTTAACTTCTGTATCACTTTTCTTTAAAAAACATTCCAGTACATTGCATTGTGCAGAAAGTTGGTGATTTAAATTTTGGAAATATGTAGGGATCGAGATCTGATATCGATCGCAAATACCAAAAATACTCTAGCACAATAATTGTAACTGCAGATTTACAGAACTCTAAATGCTTAATGAATACACTTGCAGGTACCACCCGTATTCACACTCAGAATTGAGTTTAGTCATTTTCCAATACGAGATTGGGGACGGGTTCTATAAACAAACAAACAAACAAACATGTGTTAAACTATAAAGCAATACGGTACGCATTCAAGCCAAATTTCAAAACATCCCATTCCTACTTGGATTGTAGAAGACCAGGGTACCGTCCCTAGCACAGGCACATAATGTAGCTGACTCGTCAACAGCAATGTGGAGTGTGACTATGGGGAGGTCAACTGGCAGGGTGAAGTTGCTGACACATTTGTAACATCCACTCTCTATCGTAACTGTAAGGGGTCATTAATTAAGAAGTATCAAGTGGTCGGAATATATTTTGAGAAGCTCGAATTTATCACAAACACAGCATTATTCAATAGTCCTCCTTTCGAGAAATCATTAAAAATCAAATTGATTTAATATAAAGCCAGTTTCAACGGCCAGGTAGCGCAGTTGGTTAGAACGCCTGTCTTACAATCGTTAGGTTGCGAGTTCGAAACCCACTGACTGCCTGGTCGTGGGGTGAGCGTCGTCGACGTTCAGCTAAGGATCATGAGTGGTCTATGCAGCCCCCCGGTCTACTCAGCCGAATACTCGAGAAATCGGGTGTGAGGGTTAAATGAGGAGCTGCACATTGCAGCAAAGTCTCGGACGAAGAAAGTATGGTACACACTACCTTAACCGTCACTGGCCAAAAAGATCCTTCGGCTTCCTGTAATTGGCTGGTTGCACTTGTGTAACATTGTGGCTGTTGGAATACACCGAAGTAAAATAAGTGTCTAGATAAAAAAAAAAAAGCAAATGAGGAACTACCTCAGTACTCACCGAAATACACTTTATCAAAGACCGCCACTCCAATGTAGCAGTCAGGGGTAGAGGGCTGGATGGCTAGGACGGGTGTGATGCCCGCCCTGCCTTGTGGCACGTTAGTACTCAACAGCAACTCTGTTACTTTAGTGTTACTGAGCTTCCGAGTCAAGGAAATATGTATTTTAACGAAAATGGAATGTTTATATCTTAATCATGTGATTCTGTATGTTAAGTAGTTACTAAACAACTATGTAACTTACTATAGCAGAAATGTTAAAAACCGTATAAACTTTAAGACAACAAACAAACAAAGAAACAGAACGCTACAAAAGGATACTCCAAAGCGCCCTTATCATTGAGTAGAATCTCATAAACCGTCAGCCACAACTTCCCCGTCTCCTCCTCCACAGAGATAACAGCAAACAGCTCATCAGGCCGCTCCTCGCTCTCTGAAGACGGGGAAACATTCCTGAACATCATGTTAACCACCTGACCCTGCACGTTTTTAATTTTAGTGCTGTTGCCGATGTTCTCCTTCTCTATTATCTTGATGATAAAGCCAGTTCTGATTGCTATTAGGGAGGCTATATAGTGGAGGGAGGTACAGAGTATGCGCTGGTTTGGGGCGGGTTCTGGGCGTTTACCACTTATCATCTTGTCCATACACACCTACAAAATAGGAGTTAGAGCAGGTTTATCTAAATGGAAGATTCAGAATATTATATAGATTAAACTTGAAGCATTGTTATCAATCAATAATATGTTACGTGGGTTCTACACGGTTATATTAGTAGTTCAACTCGCGAAAATATGCTACAAGTCCTTGGATCTAAGTTGTGTAACTGATCAAAAAACTAATTAGTTCAGTGCTAATAAACTAAACAGAAGACAAGCCACTGAAGAGAGTTAAATAAACTAACCAGTTTGCTGGTAGCTGAAGATATCTCTGGTAGTTTGACTGAAGCTCGTCTCACATCATGAGAGACAGGTAGCACTAGTAACTCATCCTCCCCCCTAAACCGTCTGCAAGGTTATCCACTTAAATTAAATAAGTAAGCAAAATCAAGTTATATCATAAAGCACATTTTCGTTAATTTATGGAGCGGGTAATCATGCGCTCCTATTAAAGATCTTCATTTATCTAGAATCTGGATAATGATTAATGATCGCTATCTAAATTCATATCTTATAACTAAATATCTCTATCTTGATCTTTAAAAATTACAGTTTTTACTCAGGGGAAGTTGGGAAACCTTCACAAGCGATTAAAAGATGTAGACTTACTGCGTTTGTATGACTGTCATGGCTCCTAAGTTACATCCACATTTGCTACAAAGATAAGCCATGTTAAATATTTAAATTTGATCGTATTTTTTGGTTTGACTGCCAAATTTGGCAATGGCAGTTACAATTAAATGTTTGCTTTCTTGTGCAACGATTTCAAAATGTTCGCTTCCTTGTGCAACATAAGTAAGTCACAAATACTACGTATCATTACTTCATTACCGTAAAAATAACTTCAAACCGATAATAAATTATAACGCATATTAAATTAATGCACACAAAAAATACAGATAAACGTGAACTCTCAGTCTAGACTCTTAAACTAAAATATCAAAACCATACAAAGTACAAACCCTAAATTTTCCTAAAAACAGTCTTGGGTATTTTGACGACAGCTTTCTCTTTGAGTTTCCTCTTACCTTCCCGTTGTCGAGCTAACAGTTTCATAGCCCTAGTCTTGTCTCCACCGTACAAATCCTTTGTTACGTCCTTTCGGAGCTGAAAATATGATTTAATGGAAACTGGTACCTGCAAATTTGATATTTTAATACATGGGTATAACGACAGCAAATATACATTTAGAAATAAAACAAAATTCAGATATTATAATGAAAGTGACTAGCAGTTGAGTAACTTACTGGTGTAACCTCTGCTCGAGCCTGGACTTTCCCTCCCGCCACACACTGGATAATAATCTTAAACAGTTCCCTGGGCATCAACTTAGCAATATCCTTAACAGTCCTCAAACAAACATCTTTAACAACATCCGACCTTACAATCATTGACAAACCATCAACTATATCACCATTAACCACAACATCAACCTTGGAGATGTCAGTCTCCCAGTAGCCCGCATCCTCAAAATCACAAGTAGCATACCCGCTACTCAGCTTCTTGATCGAACTGTAGAAATCAGTTACTGTCTCTATCAGGGGTATCTCGTATTTCAACAGAAACCTTCCCTCTCCCAGGGTTGAGTTCTCCTTCTGATTACCACGACATGACATGCAGTGGGAGATAACAGGGGAGAGGTGTGTGCCTGGTACGATAAGGGTGGTTTCAACAACTGGTTCCTCCCATTTTATCACGTGGTAACTGTCGGGCATATCCTTAGCACAGTTGAACTCTGTTATTTCGTTGTTGCGGAGAAAAGCTCGGTAGGTGATGCTAGGTGGGGTCATGATGATGCTGGTACCAAATTCTTGATAGAGTCGTTGAGCAAATACCTCTCTATGGAGAGTGCCAAGAAATCCCAGATTCCAGCCTTGTCCTAAAATTTGATTAGAATCTAACTGCATGGATACTGAAGTGTCATATCTAACTAACTTTTCCAGGGACTCTTTCATTGACCTGAAAGCAGTATCTTCGTCAGGAAAAACACCAGAAAAGATTGACGGCTTGGGTTTTGGAATAGTCTGAAGTGGCTCAACATTAGAATCAGGCATACAGATAGTGTCACCAATTATAACATCCTCAACACCCTTCACTTTCAAAATGAAATATCCCATTTGCCCAGCAGACAGACTGTTGGTGGGTTGTAACCCAGGTAGAAATACACCCATCTCACGGACAGGGAATGTCTTGCCAGACCTCAGCAGACACACTGAATCTCTGGTGTTCACTGTTCCTTCTTTGACAAAGACAGTTAAGATAACGCTACCAGGAGAAGATAGATATTGGCAGTCATGTAAGATAGCAACAAAATCTGAATCAAGCTTCCCCTGAGGGGCTGGCACCTGTTCTATCACTTGTGGAATTAGCTTTTCTACGTTTTCACCTGTCTTAGCAGAAATTTCTGTAATGTCAGTTTCCTCAAGATCAAACATGCTGGACATCTCCAACTTACACGAACTCACTTTCGCATTGGGCATATCAATTTTATTCAGCGTTCCCAGGATGACAAGCTCATTTTCGAACGCAGTGTAAAAGTTGCTAACAGTTTGTGCCTGTACCCCCTGGGTCGCATCAACCAACAAGATAGCTCCATCACTGAGAAAAAGAGACCTCCCCACTTCGTGTGTAAAATCAGCATGACCCGGGGTGTCGATCAAGTTGAGCAGGTATTCAGTGCCTTTGTGAGTGTAACGTAAGGAAGCGCACTGTGCTTTTACGGTTATCCCCCTTTCTCGCTCCACTTGTAGACTGTCAAGTTGTTGAGGTTGGGATGTGTTGACTTCTCCTCCTCCTCCTCCTCCTATCTCTATGAGTCTGTCTGCTAGAGTACTTTTGCCGTGATCGACATGAGCTATAATCGAGAAGTTTCTGATTTTATCAGGACGAAATTTAGGGAAGCTGTCGTTGCCATCTGATAGTGAACGATGTAGAACGTTTGGTAGTCTATGTATAAACCGTTTTGAGTGTCGCCATGCGTTCATCAAACTGAAATAGCTACAGGTTACCTATATGAGAATAGTCAATAGGGAGAAAAATCATTTCGATTGCGAAATTGGTTTCGCTTTCGAATAATTGTGAATATAACTTTCTACGGTAGTAGGTGCTGATTAAAAATTAATTTTTGTGATTTTGGTTTAGTTAAATAAATTTTTGTAATCTTCGTACATAATGATGTGATATTGCATTAATTCATGTTATTTTACACTGAGCCTTTTCACAGTGTCATCTGATAACAGGTGTCTTATTCTCAGCTGAATCAGTCCGTTTAGTTATTTGGAATAGTCGAGACAATGGGTTCTCCGTACACAATAGAATTACTTGATTGATTGTAATCCGGACAGTTTAATTCTTACTTACGTTATGTCACATGTAGGTTTGGCATGGATCACTTCTGGACAACAGTGCAGTATCAATACGTCATCCAATCAGACCAAAATTAAAATTCTTCTGTGGGCTAACATGAGCGAACTTTTTTGTTTTAATCAAAACATTGTTTGTCCTTGTAGATATTAGTTTGAGTGATTTTCAAGCATGTGTCTGTCATCGGTTTATCTAGAATGATCACCATGGTTACCAGACTGGAGCTCTTGCTTGTAACTATAGTACATTGCGCACTTTCATCATTCCAGAGTGCCGGATCTTATCATGAATCAGGTGAGACTAAGTTCACAACAGAGATACCGGAGATAAGAAAGTCGTTCGGTATCCCAAAAAGTGCAGCACATCTTTATGCACAGAAGGACGAAGCTGACTGGACAACAGTAAAACTACCAACATATCCACTTCAAAGAACAGGGCAAAGACTTAAAGACGGACCAACTAAACATAATAGATTACTAATAATACCAGTCAATCAGATTAAGGAGACACAAGCTACAGAAGGCAGCTACATTCCAGTTGCTACAAAAGGCAACAATATTCCAGTTGCAACACAGGCAACTACCAGTCTCACTGATAATTATTCTAGTTCTTCCAGTTCTCATAGGGTACACTCTATAGGGTGCTATTTCGGCACCTTTTTCCCTTATCTGCTCACCAGTAATCATATTCCACATATTCAATTAGTGAAAGACTCTGACAAAGTCAGCTTGATCACTCTGACAACAGTCAATATATTGGTCTCCATCTGTTGTATTGTCCTCAGCATCATCATAGCATACTTCAGATTTATTAAATCACGTGCCAAACTGGGGCTGATACAAGCCCTCTATCTCCGAAATGGCCTGGCTGACTTCTTCGTAGGATTAGGAGTTCTTCTTCAGAGTCCCCTCTTGTACCTACTGATCTTAAAAGGAGATGGAATATCTGATGTGGTGGTGCCTGTCTATATCATGATCAGCTATTCTTTGACCGCCATAGCTGTAAAGATGAGTGTCTTCATGAACTGTGTCTTGGGAATAGTCCGGTGCATTAACATTGCTCAACCGTTCTACCAGATCAAAAGATCAGCCGTTACTGTGTGTACCCTTATGTACATGTTCATTTGGATGATCATTCTTGGGATTGACCTGTGGCAGTTTGCTGAAAAAAGAGGGACGAAAAACCAAGTTCTTATGGTGAAGACGATGATTATGAAGGGTCAGCCTGGATTTGGGTTGGTTCTTCTGACCATGGAGAAGGAAGATAGTGGTCCAAGCTATCTTGCCTACCAACTTGGCAACCTGGTTCAGTTCATTGTACCCACCGCTTTGCCTATATTGTTTTGTTTTGTGTTGATGATAGTGCAGCTGTGTTCCCTTCACAGAACACGTGCTCGCCGTGGATTGAACCACCTCAATGCGACAAGGCAGTCTAAGGAAGTGGTTGATACTGTTTCAAAGGCCAGCTTGACCATTTTTCTATTGACCAGCATCTACGTGAGCACATCGGCAGTGTCCTTAATTACATGGTTGATAGCTGATGGCCAAAAAGGATACCTTGGCTCACAGTCCAACTACGAAGCCTTGCTGAAAAATAAAAGAACGGCAGAGTCCTGGAGTAATTTGACTGCAATATACTTCTCCCTGTCGACCTGTGCGCTGATCTGTTCCACACTCACCCCTCTCACTCTTCTACTGAGAGGAACTGGGGAGACATTTGGCGCTGCCAGGCAGTTTTTTACCGGGATATCTTCTACTAGTTTATATAGTATGTCAGGGACAATCAGATCAGCTGGTAGATTGATAAATCGAAGAAGAGAAGTTTTCACAGACTTGTAAGCCCACGATGTGACATCTTGATGGTCTAACGGTTGGACCAGCAGTACTTGATACCTTCCAGCCTTTTAGGGCTAATTTCTTTTTTAATGCTGTACAGTTCAAGGCTACCTCAGTAATGAACTCTTTAAATATTATGGTCTCTTACCATGGAAAGGCAAATTAATAGTGTCAAACAGAAATGCAGCTGGACAATGATGAATCTAAGGACGATTGGGCGCTATCTGGATGAAGGAGTGAAACTAATGATGGTAACACAGTTTGTAATATCGAAGCCTGACTAATGTAATTTTTGTAATATCGAAGCTTGACTACTGTAATTTTTTCACATGAACCTACCAAAGACACGACTAAACAAGCTAAAATCAACATTCAACCCTTAATGGTGCCATTCGGTTCATCTACAATATCAAAGACCGATCAGAAGACCTACTTCCCTACTACAATAGAGCGCATATCCTTCCTCTTGACTGATTTTCTTTAAAGTCTGCCTCCTTACTTATAAAGCTGTACATGGAATTTCACCTGACTACATAACAAAACTTGTACAGATTGAAAAACCACTGAAAAATACAAGATCGAAGATAGGAGATTGCTACAGGTTAAAGATCCCCAAAAATGACGAAGAACAAGATTGATAGACGGCGTTTTACAAACTACACACCAACTGCATGGAATTCACTTCCTTGGGAGATACGATCACTACGTATAAATGTAGACAGTTTCGAACATTATTTATATGACCGTATTTGATTAGTGCTGTTGTTTTTTGTTCTTATTATTTCTCTTTCTCTGGATCCTTGAGTCGTTGGTGATAGGGAGTTTTGTAGATCCTCGGGTAAGTCAGTGTATTCTCTTGGTGACTTGCTTGAAAAGTGGTGGGGATCCGTCTCCTGCTCCGGTATGTTTCAGACATATGGCCAAGGTTCTGTCCCTTTGTGTCGAGACGGTGGTGGGCTTGAAGGGATAAGTTTCAACCTGGATTCGCTTCACTAGAGAATTCAGAGAGTACTGAGTTATACCACTGGTACCCAGTCTGGTGGCCTAACTAGACGCTTGGTACTGGACTAGTGGCTTACCAAGGTATACTTTTAAAAACGGTCGGATGGCCTAATCCTAATTTAGAACAGATTTTAGGCCAACAGCCAATTTAGGTCGCTTGGCCTAACTGGACTGACAGAGCATGCTATCCGAGCCCGATGACGTGGACCAAATTAACGTGCTGATAGGCCAAGAGAACTAGAATCACTTAGGCTTGAAGATAGAAATTTGTCAAGGATCTCTAGGGGGAGGCATATCTCTCCTGTTACCGATGGCCCACTGCATGTGCATCGATCCTTTTTGGTGGTGTATCTTTATTTTTATTGTGTAATATATCAACGTGGTTAGTACCTGACACTTGTGTAAGTTACTTATCATATGGGCGGTATGCAAGTACATTATTTCATTTCATCTCATTTCATATGTCATGAAGTACGGAAAGAATAGTTAATCTTTTAGTTAGTTTTTACTTAATAATGACTTTTAAAACTGAAAGAACTTCCTGCTGTGAGATATAGATAGTATTTGTTTTTATGCTGATTGAAGAGTTTTAAGGCTATGATTGAACCCTAACAGTTACTAATACGTTTACATCTATTATTATATATATCATCTAAAAAATGTTGATTGAAATGGATATTGAGTTTTGTTTTACAGTAACTATGATATTATACATTCAATACATACTAGAAAGCTACTTGTATTGTTAAAACGGAGCTTTGTTCGAGGAATTTCAAAATCAGTACTGTCGTGATTTCTTAATTTCTAATATCACTACTGTTTTATTTCTATTTATTTCGCATACAAAAAAGTACCAAGTATTTCCAAATCAGCACTTTATACGACACGTATAAAAGTTGAGAGCTTTGAACAGCTAAACTTTGTGAGAGGTGTCTTTATTTACGGCAGGTATCCTAGATTTAGTAGACACAGTACGGTAATACATCAAAATTTAGCACAGAAACCTGCATCAAATTTATGTTGATAAAAGGACACAGTAAGATTCAGTAGCGATGACGAAGCTCTGCCTTGACAATCAATTAACTTTTAAAAGAAACCAAACCAATTAACGATTAAAAAAAAGACAAATATCTTCAAAAATTACGTTAATTTTTTAGCAAACAGGTTATTTTGTATCCAAAATATACGGTGAAAGCATCGTGAATCCAACAAATACCTAAAAACTTTAAAAAAGGAAACACCCTGTCAGCTCGTATCGTCCTCATATCCCTCTGTCTTCATATCCGATATCCCGAGATCATCATTATCTTCTGCTGTTCTTTCAAACTCCTCCACCGTCAAATTGGGGTCTTCATCCGGTGCATAAACGTTTTGAATGTAGCTGTTTCCAGCTGGATCCTTAACGATCAGCTCAACAAGTATTTTGTGGTCGATGATATCCTGGATTCCTTGGATAACACTGGACATCGCGCCACCAGATTTTTTGTCACTTGGAGTTTTGCTGTCTCCAAAAGAAAATGGATTAATGGACTCTAGTTGGTCTTTAATTTGGTGGAGTAAACCCTCAATTGTAGTGAACCTGCCGCCCAACGAACCACACGTTAACTCAACCTCTAGCTCCGGAATGTTGACAGTGGCAGTTTCTGATTTAAGGATGTCCCGATCTAGATCCATGTCTGAGTCTGTCATCTTTAAAGTTATTCTCTGCCCCTTTTCAGAGATTCCACCTGCACTCTTTACTTCTGAATCTCTGTAACCACAGTGGTCACAAACGTTAGCCATTAGAAGAATCTTCTTGAAAAATGGTATCTGGACTTCCTTCATGTTGCAAACTGCTTCTTTTCCACAGGCATTACACATGGCCTCGAATGTGATAACTTCAGATTCTTCATTTTGCACTACTTGTGATTTTTCCTCTTCGTTTTCCTCTTCGTTTTCCTCCTGGGCATTTTCCTTCATTTCTGTGATCCCAAGTACATCCTCATCGTCTTTTGAGCGAATGTAATGCTCCATTTTTAGATGAGGATCTGGTTTTGGAGCGTTAGGGTTCTCGATAAAACTGTTCCCGGTCGGATCCTCGAGAATGAAAGTAAATTGTTTTTCAACAAGCAGCAGATCGTCTAAACGACTACAAAACTTGTCGATTTGTTCGGCTAATTCAGGGCAAATTTCCTTCCGTTCTGGTTGCTTGTCTAAAAGTCCATCCCTGGTCTTGGTCAAGAAACCCTCTACCGTACTGGACGACCCCTTCTGTGCTTCTCGTGGGATCTCCAGGTCTATCTCCGGTACGGTGATGGTAGCAAACTCTGACTTTATGACCTGTCTGTTTAGTTCCTTTATATTTGTAACAGTGAGAGTGTACTTGACTCCTTTTTCTGCAAGAGAAGACGCCGGCTGGACTGAACTGTTAAAATTGTGACAATGCTCACAAGAGAACGAACTTATGATGATCTCTTTGAAGTATGGTATTTTAGTGAGCATGAGACGGGTCATACCTTCACTGAAACAGGACATACATGCGCTTGGCATTTCGAACACTGGGTTCTCTGGTGTCAGGTCTACAACAATGGGATCCATCCTGGAGAGATATTGGTTAAATACATGGCAACCCAGGATTAACAACATTTCAGTTTTCATAATATTTCGGATATTGTGATCATTATTTTTGAAGAATGTATAATCATGTTGTGAAAGTATCATGGCTTTACTTCAGTAATGGTATAAAGTAATACACGATCCACCACTCAATAAAATAGAAATTCATAAAATATAACTATAAGATATAAAGTCACATCCAAATAATATAGTAAAATTGTTATCGAATTTCATAAACTTCAAGTCGAAATGACAGACCCAGTTCGTTACATAAAACAGCTTCATAATATCATATTATTTTTAAACTATGGCTATTATTAATCTTATTTGATCGTCCAAAACAACACTATAACTTAGTGATACATAATAACACGATATAAACAAAAATTAAGGTTAACCATCTTTGTTTTAATATTAAGAATACAAAAAATATCATAAAAATAAGATACTGTAAACAATGTAAATTGAATGCATAATACTATTATATAATAATGATAATAATTGTCGATAATGTCATTCTTAAAATCAACGTACCCTTGATAAAACTTATAGCAGTAAATACTAAATATACTAGCATCTAAATTCTAAAAGTTCAACCTGAATTCCACTGATTATCCCATATTATACCGTCATATTAACAATTACATAATACTCCACAAGTCTCACAATCCCATAGCTGCACTGCCTGCGTTCTTTCCCATCATATCGGAGTAGTTTAGCATGTTTGAGAGATCATCCACATCGTCTTTGACTGGGTTTGTTGTGTCCCATATGTTTACCAGACCATCTTCTCCCGCAGTGGCTAAGAACCTGCTGCAGGGAGAAAAAGAAACGCTGTTTATTCGCCCTCTGTGTCCACTGGTGTGTGTGAGTTGTTGACCCTAAAATTTTAATTTATGAACAAAAATATACACATGATATAAATAGGAAGCAATATAATTGAACAAGACGTATAGAGTACAATAACTGAACGTTCTATTAGACCCACTAGATTTGAGGGGTGTCTGAGAGTAATATTAGATCTGGAACCAGCAGATACCAGATACTCTCCATTGGGGGAGAAAGTGACACAGTTCATTTTAACAGATCCGTCCGACAGTGTCGCAACCCTTCCTGAACATAATGTTGAGATTTTAGAAGCAATACTACATTTTATCCTGAACTTATGATCCACACCAACATCTATCTCAGTTTAAAGCATAAACAACATCAAAACACTATCAGCTCCACACAAAATAATACAGTTAAAACAACTACGTGACAAACTAACGTGACTATTGACTAACCTCCCATTCTAGTGTCCCAAATGGAAGTGGTACTGTCCCTACTGACGGAGGCTAAGACGTGTGCGTTAGTGGGACTGTAAGCTACACCCCACACTACATCTATGTGTCCCGACATAGGACATGACACTCCTTTGCTGATGTCCCAGATTCGTATCATCTTATCCCACGAGGAGGTAGCCTATATGATAGGTGAATGATACATTCATTTCAGTCAGGAAATGTATGTAACTATGTGGCCTGCTATCAAATTGTAATGATAAAACGAGAGAGTTGTCATGTTGTCGTAACAATTGATATTATCAAGATTCATAATATGACAAACCAACTGGCCAGAGATGCTGAAATCAGCTGAAGTGACAGGGTTTCTGTGGCCCAGTAAATTTCCAACAAATCGTCCAGTTTCAGCACAAGAAAGAGCAATGCTATTATCCCAGCTGCATGTGCACAAAACTGCACTGTCTGGCGAGAAGGTGCACCAGCTCACTCCAAAGTTGTGATGTGTGATCTGGCTGACTGCCTGAATCATTGAAATTTAGAATGATGATGATTTTTATAATTCTCATTATTCTGCAAGGCCTAAGTTGCATATAATATTATAATGTACAATAATAGATAGTATTTATTGGTTTGTAAAGAAAATTAATAAAACAAAAACTTAGTAATACTAATAGTTAAACAAAAACTGTATTTACAGTATGTTTAAAATCAATAATTATCGTACATATAAAATTTAAAAATAGGATCATTTAATTTTCGATGTCTTTGATCAACAAGTATTGCATATATTTTCATTTTAAATAATATAAGCTCAACCACGTTAGCGGGATGAAGCAGCAATACTCACATTTTACTAAAACTTCCAACATACCTTACCAGTTTCAAGAGAGTACACTATTGCAGTTTTGTCATTGGAGCATGTGGCAAACTTTTTTCCATCATAACTGAAATCGCCATGATTGATGTAACCCCTGTGATCGTGAAAACTGCATGCCTCTTTCAATTCCTGAAAAAATGAGGCTGATCAGTGGTTGATGTGATATTTTATAGAGAGACTATGATTAAGGTAGGTTGAAGTCAATTTAGAAATTTCTTAAAGAAAATGATGAAATGTGGAACAGAGGCACATATTAGGTGCGATGGGTGCGGGATCGCGTGCAATTTACCGTTTTCCGCACATTTCCGCATAATTTATTGTTTTCCGCACATTTCCGCACATTTTGTAATTTTCTGCATATTTCTGCATAATGTAGAATTTTCCGCGTAATTTCGGATAATTTTGAAATTTTCGCGTTAAGATTTTCGAGTGTAAAAACCAAAATATTTTAAAAGTCGGGCTCTTTTATGACCGTGACTCAGGCCCTTTCGGGACCCTGACCCAGGCCCTTTCGGGACCCTGACCCAGGCCCTTTCGGGACCCTGACCCAGGCCCTTTCGGGACCCTGACCCAGGCCCTTTCGGGACCGTGACCCAGGCCCTTTTGGAACTCATACCTAGGCCACGTGACCCAGGCCCTTTTGGGACCCTGCCCCAGGCCCTTTCGGGACCCTGACCCAGGCCCTTTCGGGACCCTGACCCAGGCCCTTTCGGGACCCTGACCCAGGCCCTTTCGGGACCGTGACCCAGGCCCTTTTGGAACTCATGCCTAGGCCACGTGACCTGGTTACCACGTGACCCAGGCCTTTTCGGGACCGTGACCCAGGCCCTTTCGGGACCGTTACCCAGGCCCTTTCGGGACCGTGATCCAGGCCGTTATGGAACCCTCGTCGTTACCGTACTTCGATTATAGTGTATCAGTTATCATTCGTAACTTCACCACATCATCTGATTACTCTATATCACATCACAACGTCATGGACCGTTTCCTAAAGAAACGAACAGCTATAACAGACAGTGACCCATCATCAAGCTCACCACACAAGAAACAGAAGATACCTGCATGGGATCTGATCAACTCTATCAAGAGGCGTCTTCAAATAACTGTCTCCTGATCTCTACCAGATCAAGTCACTGTTCTCAGATAACTGAATCTCAATATTAGGTTCAATCATGGTCTTAGTAAAAAACTACACCCTCAGTAACACATAAACAGACCTATTTTTGATAAGAGCGGCGGTTATACGTTTAGAATTTCCAAAGTCCTTGAGAAAATGCAAAAGAAAACCGCACAATTCCCGCACAAATTTCGAAAAAAATCGCCGCACATTTGCCGCATAATTGGTAAAAATTTACCGCACCTTACCGCACATTTAACCTTTATAGTCGGGTGCGGTACCGCATAATTTCGATTTTTTTACCGCACCTAATATGTGCCTCTGATGTGGAAAAATTACATTCTAAACCAGATGAAGATGCAAGCTAAGACTTACCTCATGGTCAATGGATAACAGCTTTGAAGACTCATCATCACTTCCAATCAAAATAAAAGATGATCCAGCAGTGGAAAATTTAGCAAATGAGCACCCATTGGGATGGCCACAAAATTGCTTTACATTACTGATCCCTTTCATTCATCATACACCTTGAAATTTGTTTTTAAGTTATGATCAAACCACAAATTACCGAGCTTCCCTTTACCAGGTTCCCTTGATTTCCTTTTCTCCCAGCACTGGTTTAAACTTAAGAGTTAGGATTAGAGTTAGGGTAAGGGTAAGGAGTATAGTTAGGGTTAGGGTTTAGGTTAGGATGTTGGTAAAGGTAGGATTAAGGTTTGACCATTAATTGTACACAAAGCTTAACCGTTGAAACCGAAATCATTAGGAAGAATTTTGTCATTACTGACAGTTTAGATGCAAGGATAATTGTATATCAATAATTGTAGCAGCCCGAGCAGTAAATCTTTAATCAAGCTATCGCATTGCTTTTTTTTCTTTTCTTTTTTAAAACGGGGGACCCCCAACCCATGTAGCTGAGACACCTCACAGCAAGTAGACCAAAGTGCCTCTTGCTTGTGAAAGGTGCATCAACTACCCGTCAAAGCAGTGGGTTGGGAGTCCCTCCTGGGAACATTTTCTTTGTAAAATGTTACACAATATAAAAGCTGTACAATAAATTATCTTAAAAATTTACATAAACAAATTTAGGAGACCTCATAGCTCGTCTTCTGAGGGATGAGATTGAAAAATACGTCATTCATTCCAAGATGCTGGGCTGTTTGTCTTCCTCTGATTCCCCTGAGTGCTTTGAGTGTGCTTCATAGCAAATCAAACCTTAATAGTGTTCTGATGTGATTTTTGACCTGGCTGTTAGCTTTTTTTTTTGTGGTCAGCTTTCATCTGACATCTCAGAGATACAATCTACAAACACAGTGGAGAGTGGTATTTATATTATACCTCCAGATGTTGTAATGACTAATGGGACAAAGGACCCTTTCTCTGACTGAAGTACTCTCTCCTCAAGAAAGAGATCTTTCTTCTCTTTCTCATGTGCACTGTAAATTTTATCTAGTGGCTTAAACTTATTTGAGTCGCAATTAGGATGGGTGACCCTGTTGTCAAAGAATCTTCTTTCAAAGCCCAGCTCAAGATTTATGCGAGATTGCGAGCCTGACTCATCGCACAAAATTTGTAAATAAATGAGGAAACAGAAAAAGTTTAACTTAAACGTTGAGGGAATTAGGAACTTAACATGTATTTTATACTCTTAACGTGTATTTTATCACTTGTTTATAGCGTGAAAACTTCGACGTAACGCGCGCAAGATTTTGCGAGTTTCGTTTAAATCTCATAGCTAGGCTCACAATATCGTGAGATTCTCTGCGAGATTTCGGCACCCTCTTTCAGCACTACATATTCGGTCGCGCGCTTGCATTTTCATCGCTTTTCAGCGTGTTTATTCACTGTACTGTCTAAGTCTTAAAGGATACTAGTTGTTATAAGATCAAGATTCACAGTGGTTAGTACTATAGTTACCATGGTTACCATTAAACGGTCTAAATCTCAAGGTACTATTCCTGGCTACAGTCATAGGCATAGTGAATATTTCTTCATTAAAAGTTTGAGAAAGGGTCTCTTCAACTGGAGAACTGACTTATTAATCCTAGCAGGTAATTAACTCTGGATCCTCATCACATTGATTCCATTCTAAATTCTAGCCATAAACAAAACAAGCATTACCAGATAACTCCGTTTACAATAATTTGACATGTTCCAGTGTGAACGAGGCCTTCCCCGGACAAATCCTTAAATGCCAGTCTTCTCTAGATGAAGTACGAACAGTATAATCTATCGGATAACGTATATTACAAGGTGCTCTGATGATAATTTTAGTAAAATAATTAATAATTGCCAAAAGAATGACCTCTGACGAGACTCGAACCCGGGTCAACTGCTTAGGAATCGCGCTCTGAACTGGGGCGCTACTTGAGGCTTATCACATTTACAATATGTAACATTATATACTTCATAAAAATACGCACGTAAATTTTTCGTTATTTATGGATCCAATAACAGTGACATACTTACAATTCTGAGAAATAAACATCGAGCGACATAAAGCGACATACTTACAATTTCGCTTACAAAGGGACTCGCGAAATCTTTTTAAATAGAAAATAATTTGTGGGGCAAGAAATCTTGCAGGCTGGGGGGGGGGGGGGGGGTGGGGAGTACATTTCGCCACTGCACGTGACACGTGAAAATCGCACTTTTAGTGTCAAAATCCAATCTCATCGCACTTTTTTTAGAATCTTGATAGGGGTTTCAAAGGAGCCCAAACCTCTCTTACAGAACGAAGAAAATTAATGTTTCATTATTATAGACAGGTGCGAGTCTCTCCCGGACACAGCAAACCTTGAAACGGAAACTGAGTTTCCGGTGCAGTATGATGTTGTGGTGACAGTGATCTGTGAGACTGGATACTATCTATCAGGAGCTGATACCATCACTTGTATCAAGGGTAGGATCTACAAGTCACATCGCGATCCTGGTTGTATTGCAAGTAAGTCGTTAGTCGAAAATATTGTGATTCATCAATCAATATAATGACAAAAACAAAAACGTTACCTAAATACAAAATATAAAAGATACAAAATAACATCTAATAAACTAAAATGATTATCTGATGAGAGACCTGCACGGGGTTGCCCCCGGAGATTACACACCTACAGACGGACGAGCAGTTCCCGGTGAGTTACGGCACCATAATACCAGTGCAGTGTTCAGAGGATAGGCACCTTAGGGGAAACGTTGTGATCACTTGTGACGAGGACACTGTGTTCCTCTTCCAGGACAAACCTCGCTGCAATGATTAAGGTACGTGAGATGATCCTCTCAGCTTCAAATGGTTTACTTTTTTAGCACGTTTAAACAAGCTTGCTGGAATTTGTCTTATTAACATTGTATTTCAACGTCAGCTAATATTAACTCCGCTGTTCATGATCATGCTCAGAATTACCGCCAGACAGTAACCTCTACATCGGCTCCCAGTTCCCTGTGAAGAAGGGGACACCGGACAATAGTAGATGTGAACTGTGTGGCTGGGTACTCCTTAGCTGGAGACAGAACCATCACCTGTGTCCAGGACACAAAGTTCAGCTCAGCCAGAAACTTCCCTAGCTGCTCCGTTGATAAGTGCACTGGATTGCCGGATGAAATCTTCGACATGAAGACAAACATCCCACTTCCAGTGGACCACGGAAAAAGAGTGGAGCTGGACTGTATCCAGGGATACAGTCTGTCTGGTAGCAGTCTCATAACCTGTATCAAGGGAAACAACTGGGAGTACAAGGATACACCTCACTGTGTTTTAGGTGAGATCCCAGGAAACTGGCGATAATATGTTTGAATTTACTGGGCCGCGCTCAGCCTGTCATTCCGCCTAATCTCTATTCTAATGAACATAATAGCCTGGGGTCCCCAGGTAACTTCGGCAAGAGTAGGGAAAATAATTAGTTAATCAGTTGACCAATAATAAGTTATGTCTGATTTTGTTGAGACTTTAACGTGAACGTCTAACAGACATGACAACGACCAGCACCTTCCCCTATATAGTAGTAGTAGGAACAGTGGTGGAAGTTTCCTGTAAGCCGGGTCACACTTTGGCTGGGGACAATACTATCACATGTGAGAGGGGAGTAGTCTTCACTATGGAGCAACGTCCTACTTGCACCATAGGTTTGTTAATTCTTTAATTAGTCATAATGAATGTAGATGTTTAGGCACCATTATAGATAATTTACAGGAATAATAAGTACACTTCTTGTTACTTTCAATTATAGAAATCCCAATCCCAGAATATGAGTAATTTCAGTCACTTTATTTTTAACTTTAACCTTCATTATGGCACTCAGATCAGTGCACAAGATTGTTGACAGAAAACTATCTCATCACTGACTCCAGTTTCCATGTCGTATACGGAACCATGATCTCAGTGTCCTGTGAGTCAGGCTACTCTGTGTTGGGGAGTGAGGAGATCACCTGCGAAAAGGGAATATTGTTCTCTCACCAATCATACCGTCCTAAGTGTGCCAACCCAGGTGAGACTTAATTCATCACTGTCTGTTAATCACTGTGAAAGTTTAATAGTTATATTGTAATTTATGATTCCGACTTCCGAGCAATTACCGCTCAAAACTTAACGACAGATATGCTAAAGTTCAGCGAGGGAATTGGGAGGAATTCATAAATGGCAAATTAACAAACTTTGATGAGACTGAGGTTGGTGTTGAAAATGTAAACAATAATGAAGCCAACACAACCAACAGCTTGTTTCTATTATATATATAATAGTCTGTTCTAGGAACCGACCGGATATCCGGCTGAATCTGGTTCCGTGAAACTTCCTAGCCGCGATGCCAAGCACCTTGATAAGTAACGTTTTATTTCGCGAGCTAAACGCGACGATACTCCTTGTAAACGCGTAATCTTCTAAAACAATGCGTAAAATACTGCGCTACTAGGAAACGATGGCAATTGGGTAATCGGGCTGGGCACACTTGGGGCACAAAATTGTATTTCCTGGGGCACAGTTGGGGCAAAAAGTTACTTGGGGCACACTTGGGGCACACTTGGGGCAGAATCAGCTGGGGCACACTTGGGGCACAGTTGGGGCAAAAAAGTGACCTGAAGCACAGTTTTTGTAAAGTAAACACACTTGGGGCACACTTGAGGCACACTTGGGGCACACTTGGGGCACACTTGGGGTTACTGGGCCGCGCTCCGCCTGTCATTCCGCCTAATCTCTATTCGGTTGTTTACTAACATTAAAGCCTGGGGTTGTTTACCAACATTAAAGCCTGGGGTCCTCAGGTAAACTTGGGGCACAAAGTTGCTTGGGGCACACTTGGGGCACACTTGTGAAACAAGCGCGCCAGCAGTGTTGCGCAAGCACTACATGGTTATAGTAGAGGCTCTTACGGGCAAAAAGACGTGTTTTCTGCTACGAGTTTAGAGACATAACCGCTAATTGGACACAATAGTATGATGTCTAAGGATCGATAATATGTTAAGAAGTATACATTTGGCCTTATTAGTCACGTGCTATACCAATGCGCGTTTTAAACTTTGACAGTCTATTACTCTAAGGCAAATAGAG